AAAGTCTTTTTTTTTAAATTTATTTATTTATTTATTTTAATTTGACCAGAGAGAGAAAGAAAGAAAGAATGCAAGCCACCAGGTCCAGGACTCAAACCGCAGTCAGCCATGCGGAAGTCCAGCGCCCTTAGCCACTATGCTACCTGCCGGCCCCAAGAAGTCTTTATAAATTCTTCATTAGTTCTTTCTCTTTGGATTTAGGTGAAAAAGATTCAAAAGTACCTTCAGGAAAGAAAAAGTCTGTCTACCCAGATGGGCTTTCCAAGCCTGGAAAAAATAAAAGAACCGCAAACACTACTCCAAGTAAGTTTGTGCACAAAGAAACATAAAGGAGTGCTTGGACCACTTCAGACCGGTGTTAGAGAGGCAGTGGACGGAAACAGCTGAAAGCTCAGAGTCTGGGACCAGGGCTTTCATTCTCCTCTCGCTTTCTAGCTTTGAGACCTGGGCTCCTTAGTTATCCTCAGTGAGCGCGCCTCCTCAGTGTAAATGGAAAAGTGACGCGTAGACTGATGGATAGGCTGATGTGTAGATTAGCTGAGAATGTCTCCTTCGCTGCTCATTGCCTTTTACACCAAGTAGTCTGTGCAGGAATTCAGTAAATATCTCATGCACAAGGGTCTGTGAAGCACTTGGTGCAATTCCCACCTGGTTTTGAGTTTCTGTTGGGTTGTGAGGAATGTCATGACACGTTTTTGCATAGAAAAATACGTCCTGACTTTCCCGACAACCTAATAGGCAATCTAGGGGACTCCAGTTTTGGACATGTCATTTTTTTCGTTTTTAATTTGTTATAGGGCACATGTACTCTCTGGAGAGAGAGGAGTCGGGAGGGAAAATGAGAAGGCGCCCCTCCAAGGGAGGGTCATTCTACAGTCCCTTCATTCTCCTCTCCAGATTTTGGGCATGTAGGCACATGCACCCGGAGTATTCTTCATGTTCCTGGGTCTGGGACTTGAACCATGCAGTCAGCCATGTAGAGTCCAGCTGCCTTAACCACCACACCACCTGGCTGGCCCTGGTGTGTCATCTTTATCTTATATTGCTGCAACAATGCTTGGCACGTGGAATGTTGACTGAGTCAGTAAATATTTATGTACTTCATTAGAATAGTATAGAATGGGGGGACCAGCAGTTAGCGTAATGGCTATGTTGCTGGACTCCCACGTAGTCAACCGCGGTTTGAGTCCCGGACCTGGTGGCTTCAACTCATGCCGGGCGCATGTGCGTGCGTGCCCAAGATCCTGAGAGGAGAATGGATTGAGGCGTGACCGTCCCCCTGAGGGGTGATTTCTCACTTTCTGTCTCTCTCTCTCTTTCTGGCGAGCACACATGCCCTATGGCAAAGACCTCTCAAGAAAAAAAGAATTGTATAGAATGGGGATCAGCAAACTAACACCTACCTTGGCCTATCTTACATCATTTAAACTAACAATGTTTTTTACATTTTTTTAAAGAGTTAAGAAAGGAGGACAACTGCTGTAACGGGAGACCACACCGTACGTGGTCACAAAGCCTAAAATACTGTCTGGTCTTTTATAGAGAAAGTTTGTCGATTCTTCGTATAGAGCTTTCTAAACATTCTAAAATATCAAATTACGATGAGTAAGTGAAGGCCAGGGCAGAAGACAAATCTTTTTATGCTCTGGACTAACCCAGGATGTCATTTCATAAAATGGACAACAGGACCATGTTGAATTTTGATATTTTATAAGATAAATGTGCTTTTACACTGAGTTTCCAAAAGCTAAATGTTTTGAAATGAAAGTTTTAGGAAAGAAGATATTAATAGTTAAAAGGCAAGAATACAATGAAGAGAGTGAATGTTTATAGAAAAACATGAAGGTTAATAAAATAATTTTGCCTGGTTAATTTTCATATTTTGGGGGAATATTCTAGACTTTAAGAAGCTTCATGAGGCTCGTTTCAAGGAAATGGAATCCATTGATCAATATATTGAGAGAAAAAAGAAACATTTTGAAGAACACAATTCATTCAATGAACTGAAGGTATGCAAATAAAATTACGTTCCTTTATAATTTTTTTTGAAGATTTTTGCCGTAGGGCACATGCACTCACTGAAGAGACAGAGAAGGAAAGTGAGAGAGGAAGTGAGAAATCACTCCGCATGGGGTGGCCGTGCTGCAGTCCCTTCCCCATCTTTCTCCCAGGGTTTTGGGCATACGCGCACACACGCCCAGTGTGTCTTTCAAGTTCTGGGATCTGAGACTCAGTCTGGAGTCCACCACGTGGGATCTGGTGCCTTGAATGACCAGTTCACCTACTAGTCCTAAAACTATATTTTTGGGGGATCAGTAGATGGCACAATGGTTTGTTTTGTTTTTAAAGGATTATTCATTAATTTAATTTAATTCGTTATTATTATTTTTTAATTTGACCAGAGAGAGAAAGGAAAAGCGAGAAACCAAGCCACCATGTCTGGGACTTGAACCACAGTCTGCCATGTGGGAATCCACCGCCTTTATTCACTGTGCCACCTGCTGGCCCTCAATATTTTTTTAAATAATTATTTATTTTATTTTATTGTTATTATTTTTTCATTCTAGATGGCATAATGGTTTCATCACTGGACTCCCACATGGCCGACCACGACTTCTATCCTGGACCTGGCTGCTTGGTTTCTCACTTTCTGTCTCTCTCTCCCTCTCCCTTGCTGAACTCCTACATGGCCAGCTGTGATTTGAGTCCTGGACCTGGTGACTTGCTTTCTCACTTTCTCTCTGTCTCTTTCTCTGGCCAAATTAAGTAATAATAAATAAAATAATTCTTTAGGACCAGCAGTTGGCTTAAGAGCTATGGCACCGGACTCCCATGTAGTTCACATGCGGAGAGTTGGTTTTTCCATTTGTTGGCAGTAGAAGAGACCCTGGAGAGGGACCAGTTTGCTTACCCAAGATCTCAAGAGGAAAATGAATGAGAAGGGATTGAGGCGTGCCCATTCTCCCCAGGGGGTGATTCTCATTCTCTTTCTCTCTCTCTCTCTCTCTCTCTCTCTCTCCAGTGAGCACACATGCCCTATAGCAAAAGCCTTTAAAAAAAAAAAAAAAGGAAAGAAATGCCTTGTCTATTATGAGATCATAAAAATCTGCTCTTATATTTATTTCTATTGCTTCTATTACTCTCTGTGTTTAATCCTTGACCCAGCATTTTTTCCCGTGTGTGTCCATTTAAATTGTCTAGTCTCTATCGTCAGGTAATGAAGTTATTTTCTATGCATTTTTGCATAGAAAAACACGTCATGACTTTCATCACAACCTGATACATTTGTTCTGCTTGCAACAGATCTTAGACTAGTGCTAGTAGAACATTCAGTTGCTCTCTTGGGGCTTGATAGAATCTACAAAAGATAACCTAAGTGGGAGCCTTCGTGCCAGGTTTTTTGTTTGTTTGTTTGTTTGTTTGTTTGAGATATTTTTGCTATAGGGTGTGTGCACTCGCCAGAGAGAAAGAAAGCGAGACATCACCCCTGAGGAGGGATGGCCACACTACAATCCCTTCTTCTCCATTCTTCTCTTGGGATTTTGATCATGCGGGCATGTAACGCCCGTAAGCCACTAGCTTTGGGACTCGAACCTTAGTCGACTACATAGGAATCCAGGAACTTAACCATGATGCCATCTACTGGTCCCCATGCCAGTTTGAAAGTGAACATTTCTTTCCCTCCCTCCCCTTTTTTTAAGGTTTTTGCCATAGGGCACATGTGCTCACTAAAAAGAGACAGACAGAGACCATGAGAGGGAAAGTGAAAAATCACCCCCAGGGGGAAGGTCCACACCAAACCTCTCCTCCTCCATTCTCCTGGGACTTTGGGCATGCTCGCACATGTGCCCGGTGTGATTCTCGAGCTGCCAGGTCTGGGACACCAGCCGCCGTCGGCCATGTGAGAGTCCAGCACTTTAATCACTATGCTACCTGCTGTCCCTCGTTTTTGCTGCCTTCTTTTTTTTTAAGTTTGCTATAGGACACATATACCCATGAGAGGGAGAGGGAGAAGGAGAGAGAGAGAAAGAGAAAATGAGAAGGCAGGCCACCAGGTCCGGGACACAAACTGTGGTCAGCCATGTGGGAATCTAGTGCCTTAACCACCTCACCACCTGTTGGCCGCTTGTTTTGCTTTAAATAGCTTGAAGAAGCTTTTGCTTGAGGGACGAATGGGGATGGATCTTTCTTAGATTCTACATGCTAATAATATGACAGGCTGTTCTTTAAGTTTGTATTTAATGAACTGTATACCACACTCTCCAAAGTACCAGATTTCCAAGAGAATCAATCTGTTCTTCCTTTCGGGCTACGAGGGGTTGTTTCTTGATTCTTTCTGTGGTTGGAAAATGCCTTGTACTCGGTGGCTGGCAAGGACTTGGTTATAACCCATAACTCAGCGCAGCAGAGGCTGCTCTTTACCTCAGGGTCATCTTAGCAGCAGAGTGCCTGGTAACTCACCAAGCAGGGCAGGATCAGAAGCGATGGAGAAGGGGCAGTCACTCCAGGTGTAGTGACACGCAGGGGTGAAATGGGACAGGTGGGAGTGCTCCTTTCTTTTCCACTTTGTATAAGAGATGGTAAGAGGCCAAGCTCTTGAAATGGTGTGTTTTCTTTTCTTCAGAAGCAGCCCATGAGTAAGGGAGGGGTAGTGACTCCTGTTCATCCAAGAAGACCCTCCGTGGCTTGCACGCCCGTCAGCCAGCGGCGCTCACAAGGCCGGTCTCAGGGCCTCACAAGTCAGAGCACCTTGTGTCTGAAGGGGTCGATCAGACGCTCAGCCCTCTCAACAACTAAAATGAACGTCAGGTAAAAAGTCACACCAAAATAAATTCGGGGCAAGATGTCAACTAGACTATATTAGTGTTTTGTTTTGTTTTTCTTAAAGAAATATTTATTTGAGGCCAGCAGGTGGCATGGTGAAGATGCTGGACTCCCATAGCAGTGACCGCAGTTCAAGTCCCAGACCTGGCAGCTTGCCTTTTCACTCCCCCTTCACCCATCTCTTTCTAGTCAAATTAAATAATAATAACAAATAAAATTAGATCATTTTTATAATTTTTAGAAATATTTATTAATTTAATTCCATTTGTTATTGTTATTTTTTCATTTGACCAGAGAGAGAGACAGAGAAAGAAAGAGAAAGTGAGAAAGCAAGCCACCAGGTCCGAGACTCGAACCGTGGTTTAGCCATGTGGGAACCCAGTGCCCTTAACAACCATGCCACCTGATAGCCCCAAAGTATTTTCATATTATTTTATTTTATTGTTATTATTTTTTAAATTTTTCTATAGGGCACATGTGCTCACCAGAGAGAAAAAGACAGAGAGAAAGAGAGAAAGCAAGCTACCACTTCTGGGATTGTCCACCTGGGAGTCCAGAACCCTAACTACCACACCACCTGGTGGCCCCTCATATATGGTTTAATGTTTTTAGTTTTTATATATTTTTAAAGAATGATTTTATTTTTAATTAATTAATTATTTATTTATTTTAATTTGACCAGAGAGGGACAGACCAAGAGACAAAGTGAGAAAGCATACTCTCAGATCCAGGACTCAAACCTCGGTTGGCCATATAGGAGTCCAACACCCTTAACCACCATGCCACCTGCCATCTCTAATTTTTTTTTTTTTTTTTTTGAGAGGTTTTTGCTATAGGGCACGTGCTCTCACCAGACAGACAGAGACAGAAAGCGAGAAATCACCCCCCAGGGGGGATGACCATCCCACAATCCCTTCTCCTCCATTCTCCTCTCGGGATCTTGGGCACGTATGCATAAGCTCCCGGCATGAGTTTAAGGCACCGGATCCTGGACTCGAACCACAGCTGACTATATGGGAGTCCAACTACATAGCCATTATGCTAACTGCTGGTCCCTCTAAAGTCTTTTTTTAAAAAGGAGAAGAGAGAGTCAGGAGCAGTAAAAATCACCCAGCAATTTTTATAAGCTCTCCTCTTTTCTACAGAATGTGTGTTCATTTTTCTTGTTTTATCCAGCTTCTGTATGCACACAGTTGATTAAAATAGAAAGTACTTGAGGGACCAGCAGTTGGCGTAATGTCTATGTTGCTGGACTCCCATGTAGTTGACTGTGGTTCGAGTTCCGGACCTGGTGGCTTAAATTCATGCCAGGCACGTGTGCGTGCGTGCCCAAGATCTAAAAAGGAGAGTGGAGAAGAAATTGCAGTGTGGCCATCCCCGTTGTGGGGGGTGATTTCTTCCTTTCTGTCTCTCTGTCTCTTGGTCTTTCTGGCAAATGCATGCACCCTATAGCAAAAACCTCTCAAAAAAAAAAAAAAGAGAGAAAATACTTTGGTTATTTTAAATTTTACTCATTTAATGTATGCTTGCAAAGATGTCTAAAGGGAAATTTGCCCATTCACATACATTTAAAAGTGAAGCTACATTTCTACAGAAAGTCTCAGTGCAGAGAACTGAAAAATGGACTTCTCCAGGTACCTGTGCGGTTCCGTGGCACTGCGGTATCGTGGCTCACTCATGCCCCACTGATCCCTGTGTCCTCTTGGGCTTCTCCTGACTCAGTGTCACCTTCAACTGTGATCGTCCCCACTGATGAAGATCTGCAGGCTCCTAGTGTGTTTTGTGGCATCTCACAGAGTGGAGCATAGAAGTCCTTTCCCAACATATGCAGCTATTGAACACAGTTTCCAAAATTTTAAATGCCCCTACGTTTGGAAGGGGAGCCTCCTGAGCTATAACTTGAGTTGCCTCCTGAGCTATAACTTGAGCGTATCCTTAGGCTCTGCCTTATCCTGTCACTGGCCAGTGCACAAACATACCATATAAATAACGGGCAGTGAGGGGACCAGCAGTTAGCATAATGGCTATGTCTCTGGACTCCCATGTAGTCAACCACTCTTCGAGTCCTGGACCCCGTGGCTTAGACTCACGCCAGGCACATGTGCATGTGTGCCCAGGATCCTGAGAGGAGAATGGAGGAGAAGGGATTGTGGCGTGGCCATTCCCCCTGGGGGGTGATTTCTTGCTTTCTGTCTCTCTGTCTCTCTCTGTCTGTCTGGCAAGCACATGCACCCTATAGCAAAAACCTCTCCGAAAAAAAAGAAAAAAAACACAGGCAGTGAGAAATGATTTCCTCTAGCTTCAGCCTTCTTTTTTTTTTTTTTTTTTTTTTTTTTGCGACAGAGTATGTGTACTCACTGGAGAGACACAGAGAGAGGGAAAGTGAGAAAAGTGAGAAATTAACCCCCAGGGGGATGGTCACACCGCAATCCCATCTCCATTCCCCTTCTGGTATTTTAGACAAGCACGTGTACTGGGCGTAATTTTCTGCCATCAGGTCCAGGACCCGAACTGTAGTCAGCCCTGTGGGAGTCCAACACCTTAACCGCTACACGTGGCCTGCTGGCCCAGCATCAGCCTTTGAAAACGTGTTTGTTCTACAAAAGATTCTCATTCCTGTAACAAGTGTTTGCTTAGTCCCTTTCTCTGTGATGATGGCTTAATTTCAAAGCCCGACACGAGTCGCTCTTGCCAGGAGTACTCCTGTCTTGTTCTCCACTCTTATTCATGTCCTGTCCTGTACAGGTTCTCGGCTGCTACTAAGGATAACGAGCACAAACGTTCCCTGACCAAGACTCCAGCCAGGAAGTCTCCACACGTGATTGTATCTGGGAGTACCCCAAAAGGTCAGGCTGTGCTTGAGTCACACAAGTTCAAGGCAACCGGGAGGAATTCTGCTGCTGGTAAGAACAGAAAAACATTTCCAATTCAGCATTAAGCCAAAATAATTTGTAACCTCTCAAAATTATTAGAAGTATCTGTTTCCTTAAAGACTCTCCCTCTCTGTTAAATCGAAAGCAAAATTTCACACGGTGGGGCCAGCAGGTGACATGTGGTTAAGGCACTGGATCCCCAATGGCCAACAGTGCGGCATGAGTCCCAGGCCTGATGACTTGAATATCACGTGGCACACATGTGTAGGCACGCCCAGAATCCTAAGAGAAAAATGAAGGCATTGAGGTGTGACCATCTCCCGTGGGGGTGCCGTCTCACTTTCCATCTCTCTCTGTCTCTCCCTAGCAAATGCGTATGCTCTATAGCAAATAACTAGAAAGAAAAAAATTTGCATAGCTTATTTTTCTTCTTGTATGGGTGAGGTAAACACCAGGCACACAAGCAGAAAACCGAAATCAGGAAACGGATTCATCCTGTCCAAAGGTATCTTAAGATGGGGACCCTTCCTGAAGGCCCTCAACCCCTTGCAGGACTCGGGGACTCAGAGGAGGCTCATGTTCTTTATCCAGCTTCTGAGTGATCTTGCAGGACTCTGAAACTCACAGGATCCCAGACCACAGAGCTAATGGAATAAATGCCACACTAATGATGAATAGATTGCGCGGCCAGAACAAGCCGTACAGATACCTTCTACACACTGTCCGCTTGTCAGCACCCGCGATGCCCAGATGGCATCTAAGGAGTATAGTGATGGTGTTGTGAAGGTTTAAGACACTATATCCAGTGCGTTGAGGCCTCTCTTAGAACTAGATATGACGAGATTCCTGAGAGTCCCATTGGCTGTGTTGGTCCAAGACCTCGACATGGGGAGGATTTCCTGATTCCCTGAGACTAGGGAAATCCACCAGCTTCAGACGAGCGGAGCTAGTAACAGTAGTAATTGATAATAACCAGGGGGTCTGCACCCCACTTGAGGGTTCCCACATGCTTTAATGACCTGAATTAGATACTCTACAGTGAGACTGACAAGTAATTTTCAAGAGTCCAGCACGGGAACCAGCAGTTAGCATAATGGCTATGTCGCTGGACTCCCACGTAGTTGACCGCGGTTTGCGTCCCGGACCCGGTGGCTTAAAACTCACGCCGGGCGCGTGTGCGTGCGTGCCCAAGATCCCGAGAGGAGAATGGAGGAGAAGGGATTGCGGCGTGACCATCCCCTCTGGGAGGTGATTTCTCGCTTTCTGTCTCTATGTCTCTCTCTGTCTGTCTGGCAAGTGCACACGCCCTATAGTGAAACTCTCTCAAAAAAAAAAAAAAAAACAGTCCAGCGGTAGAAGTGGTATGTGTATATGGTTCTTCCTGTAAATGACACTCCTTCCTGCCCTGTCCCCTAACCTTACCTGTGCCAGTCGGAAACATTCCCTGTAGCATTCCAAATCATGAAGGGGGCTTGGGCTCGGAAAACAGCAGCCTTACCTCAGTGACTACTGTGTCCTTTTACAAAGAGCAGGGAGTCACTGAGCCACCAGACGCCCTCCGAGAAAGGCACACGGCCCAGACAGTGTTTCCATGCGCCGAGCCTTCTGTGGGTAACTAACTCGGGGGCAGCAGCTGGATGGAATTGTTTTATTTTTGTCTTTGTTTTCTTTTTTTCCACCAGAGCTGATTTCTTTTTCCTGTGATTTGCATCATTCACTCAGCGTGAGGTTTCAAGATTCAGCCCTGTTGAATCACTTGCCCTGTGTGGCTGTGTACATTTCAGTTGTATATTGCTCTTGCTGCTCTTGGAAGGGGGGGTGTTTCCCGTTGCCCTCATCTGTTCAGAGTTGCTGCACGCACTCTTGAACGTCCGCTTTCCCCGTGCAGGCGTTTCTCTAGACCTAGGAGCAGCACTGCTGGGTTGGAGGGGATGCAGATACTTCCTGTCCTGGCTGAGCTGTGCCGACACGTGCTTCCCTCAGCACCATGTGAGGCCCTATGGTGCCTCTCCCTGCCAGCTCTCCATACTCACCTGGCAGGACAGTGTAAGCCCAGGGCTTTTGTGCTCTTCTGCTTTGTGTAACTAGGCAGTCCTAGGGCCTAGATCCTGGTCATTCCTTCACAAATACAGTCAAGTGTTGCCATTTGGCAATTCTCTGGATACAGTTTCTCCTGTGAGTGGAAAGATTTTAAAATACTCGATGCCCAACTGTAGCAAGAAAGGCTTACGGGATGTTTGATGCCCAACTGTAGCAAGAAAGGCTTAGTAAATTACACCATCTGGGTGTATTTTTAACTTCATAATATAAAAGTTTACATTCCTAAATGCTAAGTCCTTGTTTTTCTTTTTCTTTTTTTTTTTTTTTATAAGAGATTTTTGCTATAGGATGTGTGCACTTGCTGGAAAGACAGAGAGAGACAGAAAGCAAGAAATCACCCCCCACCCAGGTGGAATGGCCACACCACAGTCCCTTCTATTCCATTCTCCTCTCAGGATTTTGGGCACATACACACACACATCCAGTGTGAGGGTAAAGCCACCGGGTCTGGGACTTGAACCACAGTTGACTACATGGGATTCCAGTGATGTAACCATTATGCCTTCTGCTGGTCTCAACGGGACTTGTTAGTAACAGCGAGAACCATGAATCTTTTCATCTCTATGAGGTTAGGTTATGTTTATTTGTGTTAATGGTAATTTTAGTAATATGTCATTTTTAAAAAGAGGATCAAGAGAATAGGCAGGAAAATTATGGAGTTATTTCTTCAAAGAGGATTTTTTTTTCCCAGAGATTTTTGCTATAGGGCACGTGTGCTCACCCAAGAGACAGAAAGCGAGAAATCACCCCACGTGCGGATGGTTGTGCCACAATCCTTTCTCCTCCATTCTCCTCTTGGGATTTTGGGAATGCATGCACACACACCCAGCATGAGTTTTAAACCACTGGGTCTGGGACTCAAACCGCAGTTGACTACATAGGAGTCCAGCAATGTAAACATTACATTATCTGCTGGTCTCCTTCAAAGAGGATTCCAAACTCCCAGCTGATCCTAGGAAATGTCATAACGTTCAGAATATTTGAGGATCTGCTGGGACCAGCAGTTAACGTAATGGCTATGTCGCTGGTTTCCCATGTAGTCGACTGCGGTTTGAGTCCCAGACCCGGTGGCTTAAAACTCACGCCGGGCGCGTGTGCGTGTGTGCCCAAGATCCTGAGGGGAGAACTGAGAAGGGATTGCGGCGTGGCCATCCCCCCTGGGGGGTGATTTCTCGCTTTCTGTCTCTCTGTCTCTCTCTGTCTTTCAGGCGAGTGCATGTGCCCTATAGCAAAAACCTCTAAAAAAAAAAAATTGAGGATCTGCTGACAAGTTTTAGTGGTAAATTTTCCACAGTTATCAGTTTTTTCCCTCTTTTCTGCCCTTTTTTAATGCCATCTCTGTTTCAGACTGTTCATATCATTGTTATCACAAAATACCATAGACTGAGTGGCTGAGAAACAACAGAAATTTTGTTTTCACAGTTCTGGAGGCTAGATTAGGGCAGATCAGGCTGCTAGCCTGGTGGGATTCCTCTGAGTAACTACGGGCTTCTAGATGGATCCAGACATGGCAGAGAAAGCTGGCCCAGCATACTCTGGAATGCAGGAAGCCATACAGAAGATCAGAATACATGGGTCGCTGTATGCATGTATTCCAGGTGTGACCCGTGATCTGGCTGGCTGGGAAAGGCTTGTGGGGACATTGTGGGATAAAGCCCTGTTGAGAGCACTTGCCTTCTCTCTGTCAAGCTCTTATGAAATAAACTTAAATAACAATAATAGTAAAAGAGGGCCAGTGGAGCTCGCAGATGGTACGGTGGTTAAAGTTGATGGACTCCCACATGGCTGACTATGGTTCAAGTCCTGCACTTGGTGACTTGTTTTCTTACTTTCCCTCTCTCTCTCTGCCTCTTTCACTGTCTGATCAAAATAATAATAATAATAATAATGAATAAAGTTGGGTAAAATAATGATTAATAATAAAATAAAAACGAGGACTAACAGGTGGCAGGGAGGTTAAGGTGCTGGCTCCCACATGGCCAACTATACAGTTCATGACCTGGACCCAATGGCTTGAAAAACATGTGGGGGGACCAGCAGGTGGCGTGGTGGTTAAGGTGCTGGACACTCCCACATGGCTGACCATGGTTCGAGTCCTGGACCTGGTAGCTTGCTTTCTCACTTTCCCTCTTTCTTTGTGTTATCTCTCTGGTCAGATTTAAAAAATAAATAAAATGAATGGATTAATAAAACTAAATAAATAATTTAAAAAAAAAAGTGTGAGGTGGAGCCAAAAGATTGTATAATGCTTATGTCATTTAACTTGCATAGTCGACCATGGTTCGAGTCCTGGACCCAGTGATTTGAAACTCACACCAGCACATGTGCCTGCCTCCCTGGGATCCCAAGAGGAGAATGAAGAAGAAGGGATTGCAGCATGGCCATCCCCCTCGGGGTTGCTTTCTTGCTTTCTGTCTCTGTCTCTTTCTGTCTCTTTGGCAAGCACTCACACCCTATAGCAAAATATAAAAGAACTCTTAAAAAAAAAAATGGAAAGAGAATTCTATAGGATCCCTTTATAAAGCATTAATCCCATTAGACTTAGGTATTTGCCTCCCAGTGGCCCTACCTTCTAATATTAATCACATTTGGGATTAGGATTTCAAAATATGAGTTAGGAGGGATACAAACATTTAGTATATAATATAGATTGTATTTTTATAAAAATCATAACCAGCCAGGGCCAGCAGGTGGCATGGTGGTTAAGGGCACTGGACTCCCATGTGGCCAATAAAATAATTCTTAAAAAAAGAAAAAAAAAAAAAGGACATTTTTCCTAAGATAAATCTTTGACTGTTTCATCTAACTATATTTTTGATCATTATCAGATATTATTTTTTCCTAAATAAGCCCTTAGTGTTTTTCAATGTGTGTTTTTTTATTTGTTTTATTTAGCTCTTACACCATTCAAGTTGACAGCTGAGGCATTGCAGACTCCAGTCTCCAATAAGAAACCAGTGTTTGATCTGAAAGCAAGTTTGTCTCGTCCTCTCAACTATGAGCCACACAAAGGTATGCGGGGGTGTTGTGAGGCACATGTAGAGCCTATAAAAGGTTTAAAACTAAACAGTTGTGCATCGAAGGATGTGAGAAGTTCTAGTGATCCAGTGGAGGCCATAGTCCACTCCCTGGAATTCCTTTCCCACCTGTACTTTCACATGGAATCAGGATTTAGAAGACTATTAAACAAATATCAAACATTTGACTTGGAGACCAGCAGATGGCGCAGTGGCTACGTCACTGGACTCCCATATAGTCCACCGCGGTTTGAGTCCCGTGGTGCGTGCCCAAGATCCTGAAAGGAGAATGGAGGAGAACAGATTACAGTGGGGCCATCCCCCTGGAGGGCAATTTCTCACTTTCTGTCTCTGTCTCTTTCTGGCAAGTGCACATGCCCTAAAGGAAAACCTCCCCAAAAAGTAAATAAATAATAAATAAATACAAAAATAAATATTTGACTTGTTTAAATTTTTATTAGTCAACGATGCAACTTCTTTTTTTAAAAAGAATTGTTTTATTGGGACCAGTATATATATATATATATAGACATATATATAGACATATATATACACATATATATGTCTATATATATATATACACACACATATATATATACACACATATATATAGACATATATATATACACATATATATGTATTTCAAAATATGAGTTATGAGGAGGGATATAAACATTTAGTATATTATATATATATGTGTGTGTGTGTGTGTGTGTATGTATGTATATATATGGAGGATAATGTTGATAGCAAGCAGGTAGTCATTGATGAAAAGAATAAAGTTAGGAATACAAACAAAAGAATCTTCTTCTAATTCTCTTTGTCTCTGTTATCAACTAGGAAAGCTGAAACCATGGGGGCAATCTAAAGAAAATTCTCTGAGTGAACATGGAAACAGAGTGACCTTCCACAAGAAAACTTACAAACAGCCTCATCTCCAGACCAGGTAAGTAGTAGTTATCCATTTATGTAATTCTTTTCATTAAAAACAAAAATTGTATATAAAAGAAGTCCCTCAGGCCAATAGTCTCAGTAATAATGGTGTTTAAGAAGAGGTTGTCGGGACCAGCAGTTGGCGTAATGGCTATGTCGCTGGACTCCCACGTAGTCGACCGCGGTTCGAGTCCCGGACCTGGTGGCTTAAAACTCACGCCGGGCGCATGTGCGTGCGTGCCCAAGATCCCGAGAGGAGAACAGAGGAGAAGGGATTGCAGCGTGGCCATCCCCCCAGGGGGTGATTTCTCGCTTTCTGTCTGTCTCTGTCTCTCTCTCTGTCTGTCTGGCGAGCGCACGCGCCCTATAGCAAAAACCTCTCCAGGGAAAAAAAAAAAAAAGAAGAGGTTGTCGGGCCAGCAGGTGGTGTGGTGGTTAAGGTACTGGACGCTCCCACATGGCCGACCACAGTTCGAGTTCTGGACCTGGTGGTTTGCTTTCTCACTTTCCCTCTCTCTCTCTATCTCTCTCTGGTCAAATTAAGATGAGTGAATGAATAAGATGCTGTGGGCACCACATAGGAGGCCCAGGTTTGATCACTTGTCCAACATGAAAGCTGGTGTGGTGTGTGCCGATAGTCCCAGTAACTCGGGAGTCTGAGGCAGGACCGAGGCTGGCCTGAGCAAGACAGCAAGACTCTGTCATTAAACAGAAAAAGAAACGAGAAGTGGAATTCACCTCTAGAACCTCTGCAAGTACATGCACCTGGGCTCCAGCACAGTGCTGAGTGGGGTTGGAGTGAGACTCCAGCACCTGCAGTCCCCAAGTCTCTGTGGCTGACAGGAAATAAGACCCCGATTCAGAGCACAGCTCTTGGATAATCTGTCTGCCCAGCTAGTGCGGCCAAATATCCCTCCCGCCCCAGAGCTCCAGGGCCCAGAGAACCTATAGACGCAGGGAGGGTACATTCCTCCTTCCCAAGGAAACCAGGCTTATGAGACATCAAGGCTCTCGGCGGGAGTAAAGCCAGGATGGTACTTTGAGGCTTTCCTCGGCATGAAAAGCAAGTTAAAGCCAGAGCTCCTCCTGGGCTGTGGCTGGTCGCGGCTGAGTCTAGATTCCTTGCCTGGAACCCTCCTTGTTAAGGGTTACCTGGCATTTGACTCTTGGCTATATCCAGCTGCCACCAAAGCCTCTTCCAACTGTCTGTGTTACTAAGACAGTTATCACGACCCCGGAGTTTTCTTTCTTTTGCCGGCTCCCTCTAGAAAAGACCATACCTAATGGCTTAAACCAGGATACTCTGGTTCAAATTCGAGCACTTTCATTAGACTATATAATTTTGTGTTTGACCTTTGACTTCTGGGAGTAGAGATTTTACATTTGAAACACATTTTAAAAGTACAGGAGTTGGGGGCCAGCAGGTGATGTGGTTAGAGCCCTGGACTCGCACGTGGTGGACTGTAATTCGAGTTTCAGACCTAGAAAGTGGCAGACCTTTTCAAGTCGCAGCTTGAAATTCATACCAGACCCATGTGTGTGCATGCCCAAAATCCAGGAGGAGAATGGAAGAGAAAGGACTGTGCTGTGGTCATACCCTCTGAGGGGTGATTTCTTACTTTCCCTCCCACTGTCTCTGTCTCTCTCTGGCATGTGCCTTATAGCAAAAACCATTAAAAAAAAAAAAAAAGTACAGTGTTGAATTCAGTCACAAAGTGCTTCCTGGTTCCAGTTTTTTCATGCACGATGTGTTTGTTTTTAAACTTTTTTAGGGTTTTTGCCATAGGGCACATGGACTTGCCCAAGAGAGACAGACAGAGAAAGTGAGAGGAAAAGTGAGAAATTACTCCCAGGGGGATGACCATGCTGCAGTCCCTTCTTCGC